AGCAGGAAATCAACTCTGATTCAGACGTCATGACAGAGTTGAATCAAATTCAGCATTTACTGAAGCCTCGCAACAATTCTCCTCCTAACTCCCTGAGGAAATGCAATCTCGCCAAAACACATTAACATAATTTATGAATTTAGTTTGGCACAACAGAAGCACGACGTTTGAATTGCTGTTGTGCCAGTGTCGTGTAGCACGGCAGAGCTTGTCGAACTTAATTGCTTGCTGAACTTAATTCAAAAGTTTGATTCAGATGCTGTGCTTCTGCCGTGCATTTGTCGAACTTAATTTCCTGAATTTAGTGCGGCACGGCAGAAGTAGGACGTCTGAACTGGGCCTAAGTTCCGACTTCTGACTTCCGACTTCTGAGTTCTGACTTCTGACTTCTGAGTTCTGACTTCCTACTTCTGAGTTCTGAGTTCTGACTTCTGAGTTCCGACTTTCGACTTCCAACTTTCGACTTCTGAGTTCTGACTTCCGACTTCCGGCTTCTGACTTCCGACTTCCGACTTCNGAGTTCTGAGTTCTGACTTCCTACTTCTGAGTTCTGACTTCTGACTTCTGACTTCTGAGTTCCTGACTTTCGACTTCCAACTTTCGACTTCTGAGTTCTGACTTCCGACTTCCGGCTTCTGACTTCCGACTTCCGACTTCCGACTTCCGACTTCCGACTTCCGACTTCCGACTTCCGACTTCCGACTTCCAACTTCCGACTTCCAACTTCAAAGTTGAAAGGATCGATTTTCGTCGTGCAACTTATCTTCCTGGAAATCGAGTCAAACTTAATCAAATCAGAATTGTATAAACACTTGTCCTCAGGCATCGTAGCTTGATTAAGAATGAGTTTGAATACAATGTTTATCACAATGTTTATCACCGTTGTTTGTGTTATATTCGTAGCCAAATCAGACGTCATGTTTGAGACCAGTGGCCCGTTTCTCAAAAGCTCTGGAAACTTTTAAGGCCCGTAAAGCCATTAAGTTCATCTGTATCTAAACACGGAGAAGTGTATACGCCTGAAACTTCTGGTATGAAGGGAACCTCTGGTCGTATTAAAAATATGTGAATAAAACAGCTCTGTAATGATATGGTTCAAGATTTTGCTATGGCTTTCCAGGTGTGAAAACTTTTCGGGACCTTTGAGAAACGGACCCCAGATTTCAATATTTGTATTATTATTCCTCGGTAAGTTAGTGTTAAGTTAGTTCGTATTTGGGGTCAAATTATTTTCTTAAACCAAACAGTTGCCGCTGAAGTGGACACCAAATATCTGAAATTTATGCCCCTGAGCGAGATGATGAGCATCCCCGTCTC